ATCTATGTTCCTGCTTCAACCTGCCTCTGCTCCTGATCTTGCTGGTGTTTGGGTAGTGAACCAGCAGGTGGAATCAATATCTCTCTCTTTCTCTCCCCCTCTCTCTCTTCCTTTCATTCAAATAAAACAAATAAATAAATTTTTAAAAATTAGGTGCTTGTTTGAAACTTGAACATCTGGAATGTCTCACAGTTGATTGCTGTTGATTGTTTATTCCCTTGAAAATTTATGTTTGGTTCTTTTTATATTGGCTAACTTGAGGTTATTTCTTGAATGTTGTGAATATTATGTTGTGGAGACTATAGATGCTGTTACATTTTTCTGATTTAGTCAATATTTGTAGCTGAAAATTTATTTGGTTGACTGCAAATGAAGCACTCTTTCTTGTGGTGGCAGACCAGCACTTAGGACAGTTCCTTAGGATTTGGCTGGGCCACGTGGCATCTGCCCTGCATGTGCATGGTTCAGTGTCAGCTTGAGGCTTGGAAACACTTTAGGAATCATTCTCTTTGACTCCTTCCTTGTCAGGTTTCCCCATTTACTTGCAATCAGCTGTGGTTGCCCAGATTCAGTCACCTGTTGTGTCAAAACAGAAAGATTATGAGATTTTTTTCATAGTTTTAACCATTTCAAATGGTGATGAGTATAGCCTCTTTCCTTTGGCTATAAGCTAAGACAGAAGATAGGGGCCACCGCTATGGCGTAGTGGGTAGGGCCTCTGCCAGCAGTGCCAGCATCTCATACGGGTGCTGGTTCAAGTCCCAGCTGCTCCTCTTCTGAATCAGCTCTCTGCTATGGCCTGGGAAACCAGTAGAAGATATCCCAAGTCCTTGGGTCCCTGCACCCATGTGGGAGATCTGGAAGAAGCTCCTGGTTCCTGGCTGCAGATCGGCACAGCTCTGGCCATTGCAGCCATCTGGGGAGTGAACCAGTGGATGGAAGACCTCTCTCTTTCCCTCTCTCTCTGCCTCTCCTTCTCTCTCTCTATAACTCTGACTTTCAAGTAAAAAAATAAATCTTTTTTTTTATTTGACAGAGTTAGACAGTGAGGGAAAGAGACAGAGAGAAAGGTCTTCTTCCGTTGGTTCACCTTCCCCTCCCCCCAAATGGCCGCTACGGCCGGCACACTGCGGTGATCCGAAGCCAGGAACCAGGAGCCTCCTCCAGGTCTCCCACATGGGCCACAGCAGAGAACTGGACTGGAAGAGGAGCAACCGAGATTAGAACCCAGTGCCCATATGGGATGCTGGTGCCACAGGAGGAGGATTAACTGAGTGAGCCACGGCGCTGGCCCCTAAATAAATCTTAAAAAAAGATAGATAGATGGATAGATAGATAGATAGATAAAACAAAGTAACTCCTTCTGTGCTAATACCTTTCCCATGTGCCAACTGTTCTTCAGAGTCTGTCTGCTTTTTTCCTGTTGCAGAGTCTTCAGTCATTTATTTGTTATTTTGTGTAAGTATTCAGTTATTATCTGCCTGAGCTAAACTCTGTAGGCGTTTAAATGGCTGTAATTAAGCCAGAACCCATGGAAGCATTTTCCAAAAGAAGGAAAGAGAAAAGGGGGAGATAATACTTATTGATCTCCAGGGATGTGCCAACACAGCAAATGCTTTCTATATTTTTTCTTTTTCTTATTTCTCCTTTTCACCTAAACAATGAAATATTATTATGACCTTTATGCTAACCTCACAGATCCACATGGAGCACTGGCAGCATAGAACGGCTCACATTTTATGTTCGGTCCCAGAAGTGCAGCACTCAGCTTAGAAGCCTGCCCATATATCTGAGAATGAGAGACAATGTGGGTAAAGGAACATTTTCAAAGTCACTTCACAATGCATATCTCATATTACAGAAATCTGCCTAAAACCACCAACATCAAGTAGAACCTGACATATGCCAGACACTGATGGTGAAGCTGGAGATGCAGCTAGAAATAACATACAGAACCTAACTTTAGAGGACTTTCAGTCTAGCATGCTTCAGATATCATTAGAACTTCTAATTCCAGGTGTGGGGAGCAGCCCGGACTGGACTGAGTTACTGGAATTAAGACTTATTCTATGCATCTGCTCTCCCACAATATGGCGCTGGGAGAGGAGAAAACAGCTTCTGCACAGCTGCCTCCAGTTCAACCAATAAACTGTGGGGCTTGCTACTGATTGGAGGAGAGCAGCGTACTCGGCGTGTGGGCAGCCGAGTTAGGATTGGCGGAGGAGGACTATAAAGGAGGAGAGAGACGGCATGCACCGGGAACATCTAAGGGGAACATCTAAGGGGAACACCTGTGCAGCCCCCGAGAGAGCCGGCCGGCGGTGTGCCGCTCCCCCGCGGAAGTGGGGAATGTGGCAGGGGGAACCGCCCTTCCACGGAGGTGGAAGGGTTGGTAGCCAACCCAGGAAGAACCAGCAGCAAACCCGGGGAGGGCCGAGCAGACCAAAGAACAGCGCAGGGTCCTGTGTCGTTCCTCCATGAAGAGGGGGAGCGACACCAGGTATTCTTTTTCATTTATTTTTATTTTTTAAAAAGATTTATTTGAAAGTCAGAGTTACACACACACACACACACACACACACAGAGAGAGAGAGAGAGAGAGAGAGAGAGAGAGAAAGAGAGAGAGGGAGGTCTTCCATCTACTGGTTCACTCCCCAATTAGCCTCAATGGCTGAAGCTGTGCCAATCCGAAGCCAGGAGCCAGGAGCCTCCTCCAGGTCTCCCACATGGGCACAGGGGCCCAAGGACCTGGGCCATCCTCCACTGCTTTCCCAGGCCATAGCAGAAAGCTGGATTGGAAGTGGAGCAGCTGGCTCTCAAACCGGCGCCCATATGTGATGCTGGCACTTCAGGCCAGGACATTAACCCGCTGCACCACATCACAGGCACCACCAGGTATCTTCACAAGTGCTAGAGCTTATAAAAACTACATTTCTTTTTACTTTTTTAAAAAGATTTATTTATTTTATTTGAAAGGCAGAGTTACAGAGAGGCAGAGGCAAAGAGAGACAGAGGTCTTCCATCCACTGGTTCAATCCCCAAATGGCTGCAAGGGCCAGAGCTGCACTGATCTGAAGCCAGGAGCTTCTTCTGGTTCTCCCACGTGGGTACAGGGGCCCAAGGACTTGGGCCATCTTCTACTGCTTTCCCAGGCCATAACAGAGAGCTGGGTTGGAAGTAGAGCATCTGGGGCTCGAACCACTGCCCATATGGGATGTTGGCACCACAGGTGGCAGCTTTAACTGCTATGTCACAGCGCTGCTGGCACCCCCCCCCAAAAAAAACTACATTTCTTAAAAAAAAAGAAACAAGAAAATACATCAGGTTTAGACGAATAAAGCCCTTTTTAGGATATTGATGTGCATTATATGCTTAGCAATATGTGAATTATCACAGTCAATAAGTATATTTTATTAATTCTTAAGAAGCTAGTGCCTACATATAATTAATGCAATTAGCAGTTCTTTTATTCATTTAACAGATACTTATCAGTTATGTGCTGTGTGACAATGTTAGGACCATTGTCAAGAACAGAATAAAGGAGCTCATTTTGTGGACTTGTGACCTTGTGTAAGTGACTTAATCATTCTAAGTTTCAGTTTTCTCGGCTATAAAATGAGAGTGAAAATAAGAATACCTAATCATTGAGGTCTTTTTGAATAATAAAGGAGTTAATGGTATTTATAGAATGCCTAGTATGGTCCCTGAGTCCTCCTAGATACTTAACCAGTTTCAGCAATTTACCTTCACATTATTATAGACAATCTGACACTCAGAGCAGGGAAATGATTCACGTGCCCAGGACAGCACATACTTAGAAGATAAATTGAAAGCAAAGCAGAAAGTGTTACAAAGTGCATAGGTCTTCTTTGACAGTGGAGTGTAGGACTAACTCTGCGTGTGGAATCCAGGACAGAATCAGGAAGGAAGACTTAAACCCACTTCGCAAGTGTTCATTCTAACATTGTCCATAAATATTTATCTAGAGATTTGGAGCCAAGTGTTCAGCCCACCAAAAGCTGACTTTCTCAAAGATGCCTGCAGATTTTCAATCTGGTCACTTTTTCCTGTAAGATTTATTTAATTATTTGAAATGCTGAGTTCGAGAGAGAGAGAGACATAGACAAATACAGAGACTTCTTCCAACCACTGGTTTGCTCCTCAAATGGCCACAACAGCCTGAGCTGGGCCATGTTAAAGCCAGCAGCCAGGAAATCCATCAGGATCTCCCATGTGGCAAGTACTTGGGCAATCTTCCACTGCTTTCTCAGGTGCATTAGCAGAGATCTGGTTTGGGAGTGGAGCAGCCAGGCCTAGAACTGGCACTCAAATGGCGTGTCATTGTCACAGGTAGTGGCTTCACCCACTTCGCCACAATGCCAGCCCCTAGTCAATCCTTCATCATCTTACCTTCTTTTATTAAGGGCTGGCTAACCTTTAATGAAAAGGTTTGACACAGGCTTCTCAATCTTGACTTTTTTTTATTTGCAAAACTAACAGGTGAGAAATGAGAAAAGAAATAAATTCTATGAAACCTTCTCCTCAAATTTTCCCAGGAGTACCACTGCTCTCTCAAATGCAAAAGAGTATTTCTTCAAACTGTGTAACTTCTTCAAGACATTTGAGTTCATGGCCTTCCCAGGACCCTGAGTGTCAATGTAACTTTCATGCATCCGTTATTCACTAACTCACATAATATTTTCTTTATTTATTACAGGACACATAATATTTCCTTTATTTATTACATGACACAATCTATGAACTCGTAGCAGCTTTTCAGTGGAGAAAAATCTTTAAAGTAAAATTCTGAGATCATTTGTCATAAGAGGGATAATCTCTTGTCTCTCTGATTTCCCTTGTGTAACTGAAATACTTATGGAACTCAATATTTTCAGAAATAATAATTATCCTAATCATTGGCTTTAGAAACAAATCACTTCAGTACAATTTCATTGCTAATAACCTGCATTCGATTTCTTTTTCTTGTCTCTCTTAAACAGACTGCTGCAGCCTTCCACGTAACAGTCCGAGATGACAACAGCATTGTTGTCTCTCTGGAAGCCTCCGATGTCATCAGTCCAGCATCTGTGTATGTTGTGAAGATAACTGGTGAATCCAAAAATTATTTCTTCGAATTTGAGGAATTCAACAGCACTTTGCCTCCTCCTGTTATCTTTAAGGCCAATTATCATGGCCTTTATTACATTATCACCCTGGTGGTGGTAAATGGAAATGTGGTTACCAAGCCATCCAGATCTATCACTGTGTTAACAAGTAAGCATGACGTGTAATGTCTCCTCTGTGTTTCTTATCAGTGTGTTCTCATGGGACTGTCACTGAAAGAGAATAATCCCAAATGGCAAGATTGCTCACCAGGAAGTCAAGAGATGGATCCAAACTTCTGCATTATATTAAGAATACAACTTCTGGCCATATTTTGGCAATACTTAACTGTTTGCCTTTTGTAAATAAAAATCTGTTTTAAGTCAAAAATAGCAAACCTCATTAAGGTAGTATATTTTGAGACTGCATGACAACTTTTAAAATATTTAATTAATTTGAAAAGCAAAAAGATAGACTAAAAAACTGGGGCAAGTTGGGGAGGGGTTTTCCATTTGTTGGTTTGTTCCCCAGATGTTTGCAACAACCAGGGCTGTGCAAGGTCAAAGCCAGGAGCTAGGAACCTTTCCACTTCTCCAACATGGGTGGCAGGGTTGAGCCATTACTTGCTGCCTCCCCCGGGCTGTGTTAGTTGAGAGTTGTAATGAAGAATGGAGCCAGGACTCAAACCCAAGCACTCTAATATGGGATGTGGGCACCCCAATCGGTAGCCTAGCCACTGTACTAAATGCCCATCCTTGAATGACAATTTTGGATTCATGATCGTACCATGAAATTTTCTGCTTTATTACTTAATAATGTGATAATAACTTGTTGATTTTTTTCAGAATATACATTCTTATAGCAAGAAGTTTGGTTTTTGAAACAGTGAGCTTATAGTATGTTCAGCATACTCAAATGTAATAAGAGATATTGACCTAAACACCCTCAAAAGAGCCTTGGTTTCCAGTGTGCAAGAAAAATGCCTAGGAAAAACATCACTGGCATTTTAACCTTCAGTAGTTTGTATCCTAAAGAGTTAGGAAGTTTCTAGGCTTGATTTTAACTATATGTAATTTTTACTCTATTCTCTGACATCAACATGTAATCTCAAAGTATGAAGCAACACTATGCATATGTTAAGGTTTAGAAGAAAAAAATGATGTCTGGAAGAGAGTAGAGTTTATAACTAGAGCAATTTAATGGCTCAGTGAATTTCTATTTTTCCCATAATCTTCAGTGTACGTTTTTCAATGGCTGCTATTTTTAAAATGCTTGCTAAATGGGATCATTCTGACCACAATTAAGGGAGAAGATATGGTGATACTGTCTGTTGTGATAAAAAGAGAGAGAAGCAGGAATTCAGAACCAAGCTGGAAGACACTTTTTAAAAATATATCTGTCAAAACTTAATTAAAATCTCCATGGCAGAGTCCCAGAATCAATATGGAGTCCTAAAAATTAGAAATGGCACAGACTAAGACCTTCAAGATTTATACATATAATGAGTAAATCGAGCAATTAGTGGAATTAAAATAACTTATCTGCTAAAATACAGTCTTAAACAAGTTCTAGAAAAATACCAAGTGGGAGAGAGATTCAGACAGTAGATTTTAGGTATACAAGTGGCTGTCAAAAGTCCATTGAAAATGTGTATTATAAAAAAGACTATGAATTTCAAAAGTATTTTGTACCAGAATAATCTTTTAATAGCATTTTTCCAAAATGTTTTAAGGTACCCTCTTATAATACTTACAATATAAAATCAGAAATTCTGCCTTGCTCATTTTCATGTTTTCATAAACACCTAGCCTGAACCATATGCTTAATGGGAGGTTAATAAATATTAGTTCAATTGGTTGAGCAAGTAACAGGAGGAAGCCAAGAGAAAAAGACTCAGCATTCATTAGCATGCCCTTAACCATTCCTAACTAGACAAAGATGGAGGATTCAGCTATTTAACTATTGAATCATGAAGAGACATAATAAGTAAGTAAATCTGAAAAGACCTCTGGAATAGCTCATTGACATTTCAGCACTGGCAGTGAGTTCTATTAAAATTGTATTCTGTGTTCCTTTGTGATTTCTCCTTTGACCTCTGTGCACATGTCCAAAAATTTGAACATTTTGCAGAGATTTTTCTTAAATTGATTTCTAGGCAAATGGTGTGATCAATGAACATACTGTATAGGAGTTCAGTTATTTGAGAATGTTGAGATTAATCTTCTGGGCTCAAATATAATCTACCTTACTGTGTACTGTGAATATTTGTTGGGTGAAGCTTCAATAAATGTCATTTGGGTCAAGTTGCTGGGATAAGTCTTCCATACCCTGACTGATTTTCTGTTTATTTGTTCTACCAATGATTGATGGAGAAGTGTGAAAGTTTCCTCTTACAGCTATGGATGTGTCTCTCTTCACTTCCTTTAGTTTGTGCTTTACATGGTTTGAAGCTTTTTTGTAATGTTGTTGGGTGCAATACTTTCAGGATTGCTATGCGTTATTGATAATCTGATTCTTCTTTATCCACATGTAATGTTTCTCTTTATCCCAGGTAGTAAGCCTGATGTTGAAGTCTTTTTTGTCTGGTATTAATATAGCTATTTTAGGGGTTTTATTTGGTAAGTATTTCCATGGCATACTTTTACTTTCAACATATTTGTGTCCTTGTACTGTAAATGGTTTTTCTTTAGACAGCACAGCATTGGGTCTGGCCTTTTCTCCAATCTGAAAACTTTGTGCCTTTTAATGTTAATTATTTAGATCAGCCGTATTCAATAAACATGGAAATGTTAATTACATACATAATATCAAATTTTCTGGTAAACACATTTTAAAGCTTTTTGAAAAGGAGAAATTAATTTTAATAACATTTTCTAATCATAGCACTTATAATCTTATTATTTCCACATATAATCAATATAGAAATTTTTAGATTGTTTTACTTTTGATCATAAGTTAATTAAGGTTAAATCAAGTTTAGAATGTAGTTCGTCAGTTGCACTAGCCTCATTTTAAGTGTTCAATAGCCACTTGGGGCCAATGGCTACTGATTTGGGTATAACAGCTTTTGACCATTTATATGTCATGTAATTCTAGTCATGCACCACATTGACAATATTTTGGTGAACAATGGCACTCTCATAAGATCCTAATAGAGCTAAAAATTTCTATTGTCCAGTGATACCGTAGCCATCATAACACCCTAACAGTTGTGATGATGCTAATACAAACAAATCATGTGTTATAATTAACCACAGTATTCAGAAGAGTCCCATGCCGTACAGGTTTGTAGCTTCGGACCAAAAAGCTATGGCATATATACTGGGTGTACAGTAGGCTATACCATCTAAGTTTGTGCAGGTATATGCTATAGTGTTCCTACAACAACAAAATCACATAGCAATGCATTTCTCAGAATGCATCCTGCCATTAAACAACCATGAGTGTATTCATGAGGTTTGCTTTAAATTCACTATACTTTTAGGCTAGTAGTTGAGGGGATTGTGAGGGTAAGTCAATCTAATGAGTAGTTCAGCAGGCTTAATTTGGTTCATCACAGATTTGAAATCCTTCCAGTGGTAGGATGGTAGCAGTGATAGAAGATATTTCTGTTTTCTAGTTCCATCTGCAGTGTTCAGCAAGGTTAGAACACCTGTTCCACAGATGGTCTCCCCAGCAACAGACTGCTGTTTCTCTTTACCCAGTACTATTTCTTGGGTCTTCTGGTCCAGCCTCAGGTTTAGACAGCCCCTGTGATCTTGGGTGGGGCATTATCAACATTCCTATCCCCTGCTTTACAGGGACAGCTGAATTCTACCATAAATCTATGCTCCAGGTGGTTTCTTGCTTCTTTTCCAGTAGTAGCAGAGCAGTGGACAGAGGAACGTATGTGCAGAGGTTGGACAGAGCAGTTCTAACCTATTGTTTAGACCACACTCGACCTTGTGAATTCAATAAAAACCTTTACCTTCTTCTTACCTACCTCCTCTCTTCCTGCCATGCTCTGTCAGAGGTGAAACAAGGAGTCACTTCTCTCCTGGGATGGGCTTGTCTCTTCTTGTATTTGCTTCATTTGACTTTTTTGCAATTTAACCTCTCTGATAAACTCAATAATAGTTATTATTTCAGATTTTGTTGTTGTTGTTGTTTGGATTAAAGGGAGAGAATTAGCATCTTGAATATTTCTACATCTTCATGGGGATAGGAAACTTGCATCGATCTCACAAAAGTAAAATTAATGATGGACGTGGGCATTTGGAATAGTGGTTAAAAGCACCATTTGGGGCACCCACATCCTATTTGAGAGTACCTGGGTTTGAGTCCCAGCTCCATTCTCAATTCAAAATTCCTGCTGGTTCACATCTGGGATGCAGTAGGTGATGGCAAAAGTAGTTGGTCCATGCCACTCAATGAGAAACCTAGATTGAATTCTTGGCTCTTAGCTTTGGTTTGGCTCAGCTGTTGGAGGAATTTGGAGAGACAGAGAAGCTCCTGGCTCCTGGCTTCTGATTGGCTTTCTCTCACTTCCTTTCTCCCTTTCAAATAAGGAAGTAGAAAGTAATATATGTAGATATATAGATAGATAGATGGTTTGTTGTATCTCATCTCCTGCTCCAGTTTTAATTGCTTGATTACATTATCCCAAACTTCAGAGGCCATGATAAGTGAGGAATATAAGAACTGGGAATTAATGTACAAACATTTCTGTGATGTTAGGCGCAAGGTGGCATTATGTGACATTTGGGTTTCAGCTTCCTCCTTTATAAAAGGGGGAATTAAAGTACATGATGACTAAGATTGCTTTTGAGCTCTAAAATTACCATTATTTATCAGTTAATGATACATTTTTGCCATCTTTATCTTTTGAATAGAAATCTTTTTAGAAGTTTACAGTGCATTTGTGGTATTTGCTCACTGAGTTGACACATTGCTCTTGTAGTCATTTATTGTGTGTTAGATGCTTGTCTGGATGAAATGAGCAGTGACAAAGCAATTGGCCCCGGGGCAGTCCTTTGATATTTTGCTATAGTTGTTCTCAGTCTGCCAGTTTCAGAGAAAGCTGAGAAATTGGCAAAGAATAAATTCAGCACAAGCAAGTCATTTGGCCAGTTCAAAGGAGTTTCACAACCCTTAGGCTCTGGTTAATATTTAATTGATTGAGAACCTTGAAT